TAACGCCACCCCGTTCTCATGGCCCCCTCCCACGAGGCAAAAGGATCAAGGAAGGTTGCTCACCAATGTTTCCCGCCAGTTTCCCTCGGACAACTTCCAACACACTCACTCCTATCTCGGTAAAACAGTGTAAAACGCACGCTGCCACACTGTGCGCGCACGTTCAAGTACGTGCACGAATCATTCTCATCACCACTCGTGCCAATACACTGATAGATTCTCCCCCACACGCACGAGTAGCTACGTCAAGCACATCAGAGAGCATTCTCTCTCGCTTGTCGTCGCACAGTGTGTCATGAGGTTTTCTCACTCGGCTCTCGGCTTATCCGTCCATCTCGCTCTCGCATCAAGGCCCCTGAGATCACTGAGAATATACTGTTGTATAGCAAGCCCAGTGTATACACATTGCGTGAATGGCGCTGTTTTGCTGCGACCTTGCGGCAAGGTGGATATGGCTTTTTATTTTTTTTTTTCGATGACTCTATCACCCTCTTGCACACGAGGGGGGAGGATGCACCTTCCGATATTCAATTTCGCTCGGGTTGTTACTGCATTCTGATGGATCTCTTTGATGTGTCGATGCAGTGGGGGAAGGATTAGTTATTGGTAATAAGGGGATTTGGTTGGGGACTGGGGCCTGTTCGGCCTCAACAAATGGTCATTCGGTGATGGGAACAAAGGCATGTTTGAGGACTCGGTGCGACTCGGCTTTCACCTTTCGAATGAACCATTCGTTAATTATTAACGAATAGAGCTGAGTGTGACCGTGTAAATATTCGTTAATAGTTGATGAATCTTGTTTGGAGTAAATGAATTATTCTATCAGTGCGCGCTGATAGACAGGATTAGCTATTGTTAACAAATGGATTTAGTTGGAGGCTAGGGTCTATTTGGTCTCGCCAAATGTTCATTCGTTAATAGTTACAAATGCACATTTCAGGAGCCTTGTGCGAGTCGACTTTCATCTTTCAAAGGAACCATTCGTTAACTATTAACGAATGTTTATTTGGTCATATTCAACTCGATCATTCGTTAATAGTTAACGTACCTCGTGGGGAATATTTTTGTTGAGTTACTTTGGGGGATTTTATTTTAGAGGGATTTTGCAATTCTTGAATTTTGGGGAATTTTTCGAAAATGTTTGTTTGAGTAATTACTATTACGTAATTAGGAAACTCCTACTTTTCAGCAGGGATAGTCAAATTTGTAATATTTTATTACGGTTAAATATTGTAGCATCAATTAGATAACACCACTCTTGAAATTTTTTGAGTACTTGAATATCATCAATTCAAATATTCAAATTTTCAACTATTTTCGCCAACTCGACTTTCACCTTTCAAAGGAACCATTCGTTAACTATAACGAATGTTTATTTGGTCATATTCAACTCGATCATTCGTTAATAGTTAACGAATCTCGTTCGAAATAAATGAATCATTCTATCAGTGGGGAATATTTTTGAGTTACTTTGGGGGATTTTAATTTTCGGGTTCTTTCGGGGAATTTTGTTTGTTTGATTAATTAGTATTACGTAAACGGTTTCACGTGGGGGTGGATTCGTGGACGCAAGCATCAATTAACCCCTGACATGCACACCTTTTTTTAACCGCTTTACTTGCACATTCGGGTCGATTCAATTTTTCGCAATTTTCTCTACTTGAATGAGAGGGGCCAAATCAAAGCCAAATATAGCCAATCAAAAGAATAGAATAGAATTTTTGTCAATTATTTCAGCTTCTATTTCTCTGAAGAAGTAGATTTTTTGTAAAATCGATGTTTCTGTCCACGAGTATGTGAAGTTTAAAAATGTAAAATTTTCGCACACCATGCGGAAAAAAATTGCTTTATGCACACTAAACCATTTTGAAAAGTGTTCTTTTCACACAGCTATCACAAAAAAATGGTTCTTGCCTCGTGGGAGGTGTGCAGCGCTCGCCAAAGGCGAGTTTTCCCACGAGTGTTGACCCCTATTTTTCATCACAATGAGTGGAAAGTGGGATTTTACGTACGCAGAGGGTGCGAAAAATTTTGCTTTACGCACAAGTGACGAAAAAGTGTTCTTTGACCCTCCCAAGGGTCAAAGAATACTTTTCCCACGAGTGTCGAACCCTATTTTTAATCGAGAAGAGCGCCCGAAAAATTTCACTTTACGCACAAGTGACGAAAAAGTATTATTTGACCCGTGAGAGGTGTGTAGCGCTCGCCGAAGGCGAGTGCTAGCCCTCCAAGGGTCAAAGAATAATTTTCCCACGAGTGTCGGGCCCTATTTTTAATCGACAAGAGCGTCCGAAAAAATTCACTTTACGCACAAGTGACGAAAAAGTGTTATTTGACCCGTGGGAGGTGTGTAGCGCTCGCCAAAGGCGAGTGCTACCCTCCCAAGGGTCAAAGAATACATTTCCCACGAGTGTCGAGCCCTATTTTTCATAGAGAAGAGCGTGCGAAAAATTTCACTTTTCGCAC